GGTGGTTATATAAGTATGATAGGTGCATGGATGGATGGATGGATGGATGATAGGGCATGTGAAACCCCTTGTTATTAGAATCAGGGAAAATGATGTAATGCACTCATTGGTGACAGAACCAGTAACTCACAGCTGCCAGAACCCAGCTCTCTTTCAGATGGAGGGAAATAATTTGTGCATGCATATGAGTCTTTCTAAGAGTAGCCTGAACAATGATTAGTGAAGCAGGTTTTATAACTACAATAGAAAGAAGATTTATTTAAGGAAAGACATAATAAAGGTAGGTAAGGCCTATCACCTAGCTAACTACAGTATGCCAGGAAGACAGTCAGAGGGCAAGGGTCTGGCAACAAAGGCAGAAGGAAGTGACTTGAGATTACCAATATCACAACGAAGAGCAGATAGAGTCATAGACAAAGAGGAAATGCAGAGAAAATCCTTAAATCTCAATCTATAACCCATATGGTCAGTAGGCTGTGAGGCTGTGTGTTGCTGAAGTGTTAGGGCCACTGAAGTCCCATTTTCAATACTGTCCTGGATTAAACTGACTTACTGTGTTGCACAGGATTAGCACTCTCTCAAGAGCTGTTTCAAAAAAAGCCCTAAACCTGTGTTTACAAGGAGCCCGAGTAAGACCTCATAAGCACTTTGGAAGGCACTGGTCAGGCATTACATGCAGATGCATCTGTGGAAACCAGGTGTCCAGTGTTGTCTTTAGCTCAGCCAAAAGGGCCATGGAAAGCAGTGCTAGGCTAGAAGGCAGTGGGCCTATCCACAGCAACCTGAAGTGGCTAGTAAAATCCTAGATCTGGGTAGATCCCAGATCCTGACCACATCATCAATCACATAATCAAAGAAGCCTTCTAGATTGTGCCCACAGCAAAACATTATTGTAATAGTAGAGAATATATATAGCTTGGGGTTAAACTGTTGGGTTTTTGGTGTTTGCGGAGCTTAGTTGTTTTCTTGCAGACATTTCATTACCAGACTAGGTAACATCATCAGTGCATGGGAGAATGGAGTTTGCTGGCTATTTGCCCTGCTTGTCTTGGTTGGGGTATGGACATTTCCTTGATTAGGGTATTGTTTCTTTCTTGACTTTTATCTGTTGCTGTTCTCTGATTATTGGCTGCTGGCTGCTGGGAAGGATGTGTTTTGAAGAGTAAAAAAAAGAACAACACTCTAACCAAGAAACTATCAAGGAAAAATCCACACCCCAACCAAGACTGGCAGGATAAGCGACCAGCAAACTCCACTCTCCCATGATCTGGTGATCCTACTTAGCCTGGTAATGGAATGTCTACAGGAAAACAACCAAGCTCAGTGAACACTAAAAACCCAACAGCAAAAATTGTGCTAGGAGAAGATGGAAAATGCTACTTTAAAACTGGAATGGCTGAAACTGCTTCCATTAAAGCTGCTGGGGATAAAACCAAGGTACTATTATGAGACTAGGTCATGTAAAAATGGTTATTAGGTGGGACATGCTTTTTCTACAATTAGGGGTATATGTGGATGAGCCCTTAGTGAGTATTAATATGCAAACATGTTCCTGATGTTCCATGTTTGCATGTTAAGGTTGCAAATTCTACATAAAATTGGCTGCAATCCTACACAAAATTACATGGATATTTGCTTGTAAAGAAGTACCCAGTAAACAGAACCATTCTGACTCACACAGATTTCAGCAATAAAATTGCAGCTTGCTTTCTTAACCCTTTAATAAAATTCATTAATATTAAAACGTATCTCTTCTAGAAGTTAAAATATGGTAGAATGAGAGTAGTTAAACAGGATAGGGGCTGATTTTTCCCAAATGTTGCTGGTTTATCTGTATGAGCTGCAGTTGTTCAATATTATTGGGGCCGAAGCAGGTACTTGGAATTTCAGAGCTTGATTCTGCTCTTCTGCTGCAGAAGAACAGTCACAAGAGAAACAAACTTTTTTTTCAATTTCACTTTTCCATCAAAGCAGGACAAGTAAGACAGCTAAGAGCAACACAATAAAAAATTAAAAAATGGAATTCAGTTGAAACTCAGACATAAATCCTACAATTTCCCTTACAACTCTGTTGTAGAAAGTCATTGGGCAGATTGAATATACCCTGGCTATTGAGTAGATGAAAAAATTAAAATAAAGAAACTCAATAAACTCAAAACAAGCAATGCAGTGCCAAAACAATACCGCTCCCCAAACATCTGGGTACAGTTGTGTTTACTAAACACAAATGTTATTGAGCTTTTGGCAGGGAGCAAAATCACTATATTAATGCAAAAAATGGAAGCAGTTATTATAGAAGTAATGATTTTGTCAATTATCATGAATCTCAAGAATTGGAGAAGAAGCTCAAATGTTTATTTTGGAAATCATAGACTTTATTACTGTTCAGATGTGAAAGGCACACATTCTGGAAGAATGCAAAAAACTGAATAATTTCTTTGTGAACAAAACATGTACACTGGCAGTGTCTTCAGCCTACTTCTTTCAAACAATCAAGATTAGTTTTCATTTCCTTAATTATAGCTAAGAGATAAAACTTCAGACCAGTTACACTGAACAAGTACTACTGCTTGAACATCATACATGGCAAATTAGAATGCTAAGAAGGAAAGAGGAGGTAGAAACTTGTGAGACCTACGAGGTAGACCAGACTTGAACACCAAAGTCATGAATACTAAAAGTACTTTTATTATAGGGTTACTGTAACAGAATCTTGCAACTCTGAATGTGCCTCCCCCCCCCCCTTTATCCTAAAGAGAATGAGGGAGGGTCCAGGCTGAGATGCTTCTTCAAATTACACTTTTGCTTAGGGTTGGGATTTTTCTTATCTGACCATCGCTTTGGCTGCTGCTCTTCCTCTTCTTTCTCAAGCTTATTCTCACAGCCCATTACAAAACTATAATCAAATAACATTTGGAAAGTTACAGGCTGTAACTTGGAGAAGCCTCTGTTTAATATCAACTTGAAACAGTCTTTCCTAACCTGGTGTCCTCCAAGTTTACTGGAATTACAACTCCCAAAGTCCTGAGGCAGCGTGACAGTGTGGAGAGTGCCATGGGGGAAAGGGTAATTTAAAGGAATAGGATTACAGTCCAATGAAGGTGCCAAGGTGGGTCTGGGGAGGATAGTAATCAAACAGCTATTTCAATATCTATAAATCCAGGATCAGCCTTAAAGATTTTGCTGCTTGGAAAAAGCAACTGTGCCATCCATCAAGAATAAACACCCTGGTAAGGCAAATGCTAAGAAGATAAATAGAGTGGATCTAGTGTCAAGTTGTAATTCTTGATTATTTATTTATTGTATATTCTGACTAAAGCAAATAGGTGGTTACTTGCAAATGATTTATACTGCTGAAAGGAAAGCATTTCTTTGCACAGATAAATGAATTTTGGATGCTCTTGCACATACTGTGCATGGCATAATTATGCTATCTGACCCCAGAAGAATATTGCAGGCTTCTTGCATGAGATGAGCCTCTTGTGACAGGCAGTTGAATAATAATAGAAGGAACACCTGCTCTTGGCCCATGTTCGCTATGAAAAGAAGGTGTCATTTTGGCATGCCACCCATCAATGCACATCGGGAAGGTTCATGGTGCTATAAGCACAGTTTAGTTTCTGCTTAAGGCTCCACAGTGTTAGATGGTAGGGAGCTTCCAGCAATGCTTGATTAGTCTTCACAAGATCAAGACCCAGAAAAGGCGCTCTCTCTCTCTCAAGGTGATGAGCACAGCAGTTCAGACTTTTCCAGGTTCTCCCTTTATAATCTCATGCTCTCCAAAGATATTAATTGCCCCTCATGTCTAGAGCAATTGAATAGTTTTGAAGATAAAATGCATGGTTAAAAATGCCAATGGCATTCAATGAGAGTGGGGAGAAGGGTTAACTTCTGGGATGATAGCAGATAGGGAGAGATTGCCTTCTTTAACACTTTCCTCCTCTGAAAGGGAGAAAGAAGCCAATAATGCAACAGGAGGTAATATCACATTGTACCAATGTATAAACCAGCATCAGAGGAGGGATGTTCCTGAAGCCATAGCAAGGGAAGGAAAAAATATTCCTTCCCAACAGCTGCAATCCTGTTAATTATCAGCCCCTACCCTAGGGAGCAACTATTGCATTTTTTAAGTGCATCTTGAATACAAAGGCAATTAAACCTGGTTTAGCTTTTATTTTAAATGGGTAAAGTGGTTGCCCTTCTCTGCTCAGTTCTTCCTTTGCCAACAGCTTTTCATTCTTTGATCCTTACAGAAGAGGTAAGATCTGTCCAACTAAAAACCCTCATCTTGCCCAACCTGATGCTCACCAAGTGCATTGGACTGTAATTCCATCACCCCAGCATGTGCTTTTCCCAATCCTGCACTGTCCACCACTAGAAATAAAAATGAAATATAACAATGCCTGAGTTAGAACTAAATGTCTCAGTCAATGCCAGATAAATGGTTTGCCCCTCTAAATATGACAGTGAAACCCACTGGTTATGCTAACTCAACTACTATCAATCTGTAACAGAAATGTGATCACTGTAGGATTGGAAGGGAATTAGAATATTTAGTAAATATTTAAAAAAAAATTCCCCAACTCCTCCCAAACAGTGTACCAATTATACATTGTTAATTCTGAATTAAAAAGATAATAATGTATGACTCCAACTCGGATATGATTTGTAAGTTTCCCAGTTGTAAATTAAAAATGAAAACACTAATCATTATGCCTGCCTAAATCTAAGTCTTTGAAAGACTGAAAAAGATTGTAGTGTTATAACAGTGTTAAAGGCTCACATCTCATCTTTGTGGTCTTGGATCATCATACTATCACATCAGCAAACAAATTGAAAGGGGCTGAGAAGATGTTAAATAGAGAACCAAGAGACGTGAATGTGATCAGTTCTCACAGAGGCAGGAAGGAAGAGAACAACTTGCAACCTTGTAGAGAAGCTGTGACATGTAACAGGGTGTAAGAAGAAGGAAAAATAAGCTTTTTCCCCCCTCAAGCACCATGAAAATATTTATGCAAATCTTATGCTTCTTTCTTTTACTAACCTTGTACAAATGTGCAGTGATCACTGGGGTAAGTTCTCTCTCCCTCTCTCTCTTTTTGATTTTGCTTATGGACTAATTGTAATTGTTGAAGAAAGTTGAGTGACCATACTGGCTGTAAATTTAGAATCCACTTGTTATGAACATGGACTGTGAATTTTGGCAATGTGGGACACACTTTTTCTAATATTGTTAACTTAAATAAATGGCATGGCTAATAAATATTTAAGATCTAACACTGAGATTTTAAGTTATCACTGAAAATATGCAAGTCAAAACATAATAAAATAAAAATCAGGAAAACTGATCATTAACTAATTATAACTATTTTGCATTTTTGCAGATCCTAGAAGGGTAGAGGGAGGAAAAACTGTTTAATTGATTTCAAAGGAATTTTTTAAATACTCATACGCTTGGAATAGAACCTGAAGCTGTAATACAGTATACATACTAACCTAAAAATGGGGTTTACTCCTGAGTAGAGATGCATAGAATTGTACTGTATGTTTATATAAAGGTTTAAAAGTTTAGCATGTAAGTTTTTAAAAATGGTAAGGTATTTTTAGTTTTTAAAAGTCTGCTTAAAGGTTAGGTTAGTGAAAATTGATGATCTGTAATACATAATTATATTTTCAATGTTCATTATAAGGGATTTGTAAATATAGCAAGGCAAGTTTGAATTTCTTCAATGGTATTAAAATATCTTTCAAAACAACATATTTTCAATATTAGCTATATAAAATCACAAGCTATGAATTTATAATGTTTCTTAATCCCATTTTAAAGTAGCTTACACAAAACTCTGTTTACAAGCTGAAAATTAGTACAAATATTGTATTTTAAATATCATCACCCATATTTATCCCCACTTCAATATATTGATCAGTGTTTGACAAGGGAATTTTTTAAAGATTTCAGCAACTGGTTCTATAATTTGAAAAAAGAAAAAATAATTTTGTAGATTTTCTAATAACCAAGGCCACTGTGGAGAATTCCTTAATTTCTATATTATGCTATTCAAGTAAAAAGATTGCTTGTGTGAATATTATTTGCATATATTAGCTAATTTAGTAGTATCTGCATCAGCTGAACTGAAATCTCTCATTGAGTAAAGTTGAGAGCAACATTCTCCTGGAAGTGAAGATTACAGTATTTATAAAGATACATGTTCAAAAAACTGTTTGATATGTGGACATGGCAAAAATAAAAAAAGAAGCAAATCCTGTTGGTCCAGCCATGAAGCAGAGTAAATCAACTTCCTTGGATGACAGATTTCAGGATTCTGTTAAAGGACAGCAACCACTGTCAGTCAAATTCAGTGGGGCTTCTTTCCAATATTGATAAAGGTATTTTGTAACCTTATGCATAAGGGCTAATCTGGAAGAGCAGTTCAATACACATTGATGAGTGTCTATAGTTTTCCCCATTTCTGGTAGAGGAAGTGCATGGTGGCTCAGTCAGAATTACTGGATGTGATTCAGTCATCCTGAATCCACATGCATACCATGTGGAACAGGAACCCACCCTCACTGTTGCAAACTGAAGGTTAAAACACACTCACACCCATGCACACACTCCTTCAGCTGTCTCCAGAGAGAAAGATTTTGATTAACAAGGAGGCTACATGGAAAGCTTTTCTGTTCCTCCTCATATCTGATGTCCCTGATCCAGATGATAAAAAATAACAAGAACTATGTGTGATACATCCTGAAGACATTTAATTTAGTCAAGCTTTATTGTTAAGTCTTACTGCCTTCAGTGAGATTTCCTTCCAGGTAACAACAAGGATTGCAGTACTATATTAATGCTACAGAGATACACAATTCTATTGTCATCTAAGGCATGAAGGTCCATGAGTTCAATTCCCAGAAGACGGTTTGAACCCTGTAGAATAACATCTGGCTACTTACATCTGATGAATCCCAAGAGAATGAAACCAGTCACATGGTGCCTCCTGGCAGTCAATGTAACTGAAAACCTCTTCTTTATGGTCTTTTAGGTAGGATGACCAGACACAAGAGGATATATGTCTTAATACAGCTGGCATGTATCAATGTTAAAAAAAAAAAAGCACATGACTATTAAAATATTAACATGTCTATTGGTTGGTATCCAGTTTTCATATGGACTGAAAATCCTTTTTCCAACCAATTATTGTAAATGCTGGAAGCCTGCCCCCTTTTACACTGAAATAGATAATACAAAGAAAATGCACTGCATTTTATTTAATTTAAAAACTAACTGGATGGGATTCTTTTATACAAATGCAGCAATTTAAAGAGAAAGGGAAATTAACAGTTCCCCACCCTGCAAACAGAGATGTTATTATCATAACAAAGGTTGCAGCACTATGAATGTTCACTGAAAATGCACATGTTTTATGTAGTTGGGCTTTTCCCCTAGTAAAGCCTGCTCAAATCCAGTGTCCTCCAAATGTACTGGGTCTAAAACTCTAGGGGCATCTGCTGGGGAGGGTGGGTCAAAACAGTTGTCATGAGCATGTGATTACAGCAACATTTGACTTCTTTAACCCACACACCCCAACACCCCCAGACTGATGGTTCTGGGAGTTGAGGTTTTGATACACCTGGAGGACACCAAGTTGGAGAAACTGCCCTGAAAATTTGTTTAGGATTGTAATCTGTTTTCCTAAAATAGTTAGCCAAAGTACTACAATGCTACTGATGCTTTATTAAAGAACCCTGCCTTTGATTTCATAATTAAAGATACTTCTCAAATAAGAATTGGTTGGATCCATTGAATGGGATTGCAATGGGAACATATTATATTAATCTACTCAAAGATATTTTTTCCCAACTGTGTGATTATACGCCAGCTCTGTCTGTGCGTTAGTTTGGAAACAAACAAGAGATGTATGCTGAAAACAAAAAATAAAATAATTATTTCATGGCAATATCTCATGAGTTGAAATCTTTCAAAATTAGCCTATTCTTCTGTTACCTGAATTTAAAAAGTTGTTTCTAATGATACAAATATCTTTGGCAAGTATTTCATGCAGATTTCAAATAGAAGCAGAATTCAGATTAATCCGAAATCAACAAGCATAACTGTGTGAACAATCCTCTCCGTGTACCTGAATGGATCTGAGTCACAATCAAACCAAATAAAGGAATGACTCTGTCAAAAGTATTGTAATAACTGGATGCTCATATTCTTTATGGGTTACTTCCCATTCCCTAAATAGTTCTGATGACCTCAGCATGACAATTCACAGCCTGGCAGAATTTGATTTGTGTTTGTTAGTATTTCTTTGAATAAGACTGATGTTTATTTCCTCATCTTTACTTAATTTAAGCTATTTGAATTTTAACAGATGCAGGAAATTGCATTATTACGTATTTGTCCTGACATTTATCTATTTAAATTGTCACAGCTGTGGCATGTAAGTGACTCAGATAATATTTTAGATACAGTGGAAGTAGATATTTTTTAAAAGAGCAGCTCACTTTGCTGCTACAACCATCAGCATGAACAGAAAAAAAAATACAATTATAGGAAAAATGGCTATGAATTTATGGCATTTCATCCAACGTTTTGCTCAAAGGCAGGACCCGTACACACACTGTCTCTCTCTCCAAAGTCCATATAAGTTTTCTGTACAACTGTCTTGTGTACTTCAGAGTGCTATAAGAATTTAGCTTTCCGAAGGTGCTGACTTGCCCTGTGACTGCCAAATTGTCAGCCAATGGGATGGCCAGTAATTTGGTAGCTGCCATCTCTCTCAGCATATCTGGAATATGCCAGATTGGACAAGGCTGTTCTAAGCAGCACTGGGAGATCTTTTGAGCCTTTTTCTGGCCTAGCTGCTGAGGCTCAACCATTTCCCCAGAGTAAATATCTATCCATCCAGGACTGATCTGGAATTAAGGCAAATAATGGAGGCTAGGCAGTGTCTTCTGGTCTTCTAGTGAAATTTCTTTCTCCTTCACCAGTATTCTCATAGAACAGTCTCATTGTTCTCATTGTAGATGTGGGGCTTCATCTTTGAGGATAATATGATAACATAATAACTTTTATGTGAGATGGGTGGCTATATAAATATGATAAACAAACAAACAAACAAACAAATAAAATATGGCTCTTGATTCTCTGACTATGCTATGCAAATTGCAAGGTTAACCCTTTTGCTGACATCTGGTCACTGCTAAATGCTTAGAAGTCAACTCACAGTGGAAATAATCATTTCCTTATTAAAGCAATTGCAATATGTGGAATTGGTTTAACAGAATATTATTCTTGCTGAAAAAGAGTCTTACAGATTGCCTCATTCTTTTGTGGAAAGCAAAAACTATCATTTATTTCTTATCAACAGAATTATGGCATAATCAGAATTAGATGCCCATTGCACACTACACAACTGAGTTTCCGAAATGAGAGAGAATTGAAGAAGTAGAGTAATATGACCTGCCTGCTTATTATTTTCTTCCCCTGAAAAACAGTATATTTATTGTTCTTTTGAGATGCACTGTTTATGCTTCCAGCATATTTCAAAAATAGTGCCATATAAATGTCATTTCATTTTGTTGTGATGCCTGCAATTTTACCCCCCCCCCCATTGTAATAAATGATAAGATTAGTTATAAGCAGTCATGTTTTATTTGCCTGCCATCTCTTTCTTCTTCTAACTGCAACCCTGTTATACACATCTGCTTTTTGATTAATGTTTTCCACAGAGCAGGCAACTTTGCCAATTTCCTGGGTTGATCAAGTGTTTAATGGCAAACAACCTGTAGACTAATTCATATGGCAGTGGTTGCAGGGAAGCTACTTGAAAACTTTGCCTGGGGCCAGGCTTAGACCCTCTATTAGCAGTCCAATATCCATGTTCTTGCAAGGGTTCCAAATTAACATAGACTTAATGAATTATTTAAACCAAAATTAACATGGACTTAATTCTATGTGTACTTTTATAATGCCTGCAGGATTTAATGTCCAACAAACTCCTAACAAGCCTCTAAGTTCTCTCCTAAACTGCACCCAGCTGTTTCTTAAGCTAATTTAAGAAATTCC